TCTAGGCCCGAAACGTCAGCCTCTCTGCTCCTATGATGCTGCTTGGCCTGCTGTGTTCATCCAGCCCTGCACCTTGTTGTCTCGGATTCTCCAGCATCTGCAGTTCCTACTATCTCTGAACAAATTAACACTGATGGCTTCAATAACCAAATGCTTATCAGGGATTGATTAACTCAGTGGGTTAGTTTATTTAAAACAGTGAAACACATTGTATGCTATAAAGCAGACATTGCCGCTTCCCTCCTGGTATTTGTGGTCTACCCACACCAAAGCGGCTTAAGAAAGCAGTTCACTATCACCATCTTAAGGGCAGCCAGGCACGGGCAATAAATGCTGGGCCCAGCCAATGATGCCCACATCCCTGTGAGTGAATAAAAAAAACACAGGAACCAATCAATTTGTATATATAACCTGCCAGCCCACATCAGGACAACCTATCCGGCAGAGTCTCAACACTGTATACACGCAGCACGTGGACCCCTCAAAGATTCATTTCCTTAAAGGCCAGGTACATGTACAACATTCCCAAAGCACTTCCCTTCCTGCTAACAAAAGAAATCAGAGCTGGAATGTGCTATCAGAGCTGGAATGAACGCATGCAAGTGCAAGAACAGCCTGCAGAATAGCAGTGGGCTGGCACGGTGGCTCAGTGGTTACCACTGCTGCCTCACAGCACTGAGGACCCAGGTTTGATTCCACCCTTGGGCGACTGTCTGTGTGGAGTTTGCACATTCTCCCCGTGTCTGCATGGGTTTCCTCCCACAGTCCCAAGATGTGTAGGCGAGGGTGGATTGGCCATGCTAAATCGCCCATAGTGTCCGGGGATGTGCAGATTAGGTGGGCTACAGGGGGATGGGTCTGGGTGGGATGCTCTGAGGGTCAGTGTGGACTTGTTGGGCAGACAGGCCTGTTTCCACACTGCAGGAATTCTATGATCTTCCTCCTCAACTCTACTCTATTCAATATGACTGTATCTGACCTTCCTGCTGATTAACTCTCCCTTCTTACTCCTTCCCCCCCACCCCCCAATTCTACAATTCCCCAACAGACAAAAATCTGTCTATCCAACCTTTAAATATATTCAACAAAGAACAGTCCTAACCATCAAGGGCAGAGAATTCCAGAATTTCAAAACCCTTTGAGTGAAGACCTTTCTCCCCATCTCAGTCCTGACCAGCCCTTTATCCTGGGATTGTGGCTCATGGTCTAGATTCCCCAGACACAGAAAACAACCTCTCAGTGCCCACCCATTCACCTATCTCTCTTATTGCAATAGCATTCCTCCAGGAACCACTTGCCATTTATAATCACTGTGTCCTTCCTCGCTTTTTTTATGATTCATAATTTTTCATTGCCAAGACCCCATCCCTTCCCAACCCTGCCTTTCTCCGAGAGTAATGTCCAACTTTTCCCCCTTATTGAAGATCCAACAAAATCTTGTGAAAGTCTGCCTACTTTGGTTCGATATTTTCTGGAGGCTACAACATGAAGATGTCGTCATCTCACTCTGTGCTCTCCCAGCCCCAGTCACTCTCCCCTCACTGGTCACTCTCCCCTCACCGGTCACTCTCTGCTCTCACCTCACCATCACTCTCCCCTCACCAATCACTCTCCCCTCGCCGGTCACTCTCTGCTCTCACCTCACCCGTCACTCTCCCCTCACCAGTCACTCTCCTCTCACTGGTCACTCTCCCCTCACCGGTCACTCTCTGCTCACTGGTCACTCACCCCTCACTAGTGACTCTCGTCTCACCAGTCACTCTCCCCTCACGGTCACTATCCCCTCACTGGTCACTCTTCCCTCACGGTCACTGTCCCCTCACCGGTCACTTTCCCCTCACCGTTCCCTTGCCTCTCACCGGTCACTCGCCTCTCACCGGTCACTCGCCCCTCACCGGTCACTCTCTCCTCACCGGTCACTCTCCCCTCACTAGTCACTCTCGTCTCACTGGTCACGGTCCCCTCACAGTCACTCTCCCCTCACCGATCACTCTCCCCTCACGGTCACTCTCCCCTCACCGGTCACTCGCCCCTCACCAGTCACTCTCCTCTCACCAGTCATCTCTCCTTAGGCAATGGCCCAGTGGTATTATCACTGGACTGTTAATCCAGAGATCCAGGAACCATCCTGGGAATCTGGGTTCAAATCCCGCCATAGCAGATGGTGGAATTTGAATTCAATAAAATATCTGGAACTAAGAATCTAATGATGACCATGTAGCCATTGTCGATTACTGGGGAAAAACCCATCTGGTTCACCGATGTCCTTTAGGGAATGAAACCACCATCCTTACCTGGTCTGGCCTACATGTGACTCCAGACCCACAGCAATGTGGTTGACTCTCAACTGCCCTCTGGGCAATTAGGGATGGGCAATAAATGCTGCCTAGCCAGCAACACCCTCATCCCATTGATGAACAAATAAAAGAAACCCAGTCATTCTCTGCTCTCTCCTCAATGGTCACTCTTCCCTCACCAGTCACTCTCTGGATTCTGGTCACTCTCCCTTCACTGGTCACTCTCTGGATGCCCAGACCAGTCATTCTGTGGACTCCGATCTCCCGTCACTCTCTGGACTCCGATCTCCGGTCACTCTCTGGATCCTGATCTCCAGTCACTCTCTGGATTCTGTTCCCCGGTCACTCTCTGGATCCTGATCTCCAGTCACTCTCTGGATTCTGTTCCCCAGTCACTCTCTGCTTGCCCCTCACTGGTCCCCCATCTGCTTTCCCCTCAGAGAGAAACAGCTGGTTGGAAACTTAACAAACCCCCTTACGCCTGATTAAACCGTTCTCATCTGTGTCAGGACTGGCCTCTCTGTCCGTCTCGAGTAACTAATAAACATAAACACTCAAAGAAAATCAAAAATAAACACTATTTGTTGTTGATTCCCTCAATGATCTTCCTCCAGGATTGCTTTCAGCAGGGCCCAGGTGATTAACCTTTGTACAAGACCAGAGGTTTTAGCTAGTTTTGATTTTCTCTGAGCTAACCTTTGCATAATTAAAAAGAGCCGTAAATGAACACCTTAATTATGTTAACGTGCCTATGAAAATGTCAACAGCCTGATTGCCCACACAACACAGGCTAATTTGAGCTGCCTCATCTCTCTGTGGGCCCCACAGGCACTAACACAGCTGCTGGCTGTAATGGACAAGGCTTGGAGCTCATCTGTCAATAGCTCAGAGGAGAAATCTCCTCTGGCTGAATTTCCATTATTGAGAGGCCTGTCAGGAGGTCATTCTTCAAGCTTGGCTTTTCAATGGAAGACAGCCAAATGCTGAGCCGAGCGAAAACACACAAAGAATGGCATAGGAAGGCACGGCCAGACGGTTTACTCTTAAGGGTTCCACATTGCTGACAATTGGGCTCCCTCCTCCTGTCACTTCTGTAGCACAGGTCAGCTGATGACACCAAAATCAGAGGTGGAATGGACAGTGAAGAAGGTTACCTCAGACTACAACGGGACCTTGATCAGACGGGCCAATGGCAGATGCCGTTT